GGATGGATGGATGGATGGATGGATGGATGGATGGAGCGATGGATGGATGGATGGATGGATGGATGGATGGATGGATGGATGGATGGATGGATGGACTGTATCTGTTTAAATGAAATACTTGCATCTCTTTGTCAACCTATGATAATAAATCCCATTTGCTAAAAAGTTGCTTTTATATCTGTCAACAGATTTGCTCCTTAAAGGTCATACATCCATAACCAACATGGAGGGCTGGGTGGGACACCCTCTGGACCCTATTGGTACCCTGTTCAGCACCCTGACAGAGTCAGGAAGAGCGGGTGAAGAAGGCTCCAACACCTGCTTAGACCTCTCAGGTAAAGATGATGCAGAGCAGCAGAACTGAGCACCTATAAATTATTAAAATAGTTTGATTTTGACTGAGTTCATTTTAAGTTAACAGCATTTAGATAAAACAGAGTAGTTTATCTGCCGTTTCAACCACGTCTTTAGTTTGTTCTGCAGTCATGCCTTCTCAGGAGGCTGAAATTCTCCTTTCCTACACTCATGGTTGCTCAGTCCCTGGTTGCGTCCTCTGCTAACTAAAAGAACCGTCTGCATTAAGGAGCAGCCGTGTTCATATGTATTTTAGATTCTCATTAAAATAAAATAAACTAAAGTCATGTAGATTCCCCAAAAATGGACACAGACTGTTCTGTTGGCAGACTGCTCCAGCATTGTGAGCCGAGCAGAACTTCAGCGGATGCCTGTGCAGCGACTGCTGGGGGACGGTGAGTCGTACATGGCGCTGGCGGTTGAGACGGCTCTGATCGGCCTGGGCCAGCAGAGAGTGATGCCGGACGGGCTGTATGCTCAGGAAAAGGTGTGTCGCAATGAGGAGCAGCTGTTGGCCAAGCTGCAGGAAGTGGAACTGGACGACTCCCTGGTCAAAATCTTCCGTAAACAGGCCGTTATTCTGCTGGAGGGTAAGGAGTTGTTGCAGATTGATTCTTTCAGATTTACCGTCTGTTGGTTTTCATTCCTCTAAATTTCCCAGCAGTCCACTCTTGGTACAGAAGCACACAAATACACACACAGAAATGCCTCCTCCCTGTCATTTCATAACCTACCCACACACAGAGAGCCGAGGCATTCCTGCTAAAACAGGAAAAACACATTTGACTCTGTCTCACTATTTATTATCCTTTCATTTTGCGGTGCAAATAGAGGCTGAGCTGTCCTGGGCCAGACCAGAATGAGCTCTTTACACAGCAACACCAGGGGTATTGTGTCAGCACACATATGCCGCTACACACAAAAGTGTGTGTGTGCGTGTATTTACAGGAGCTTGAACAGAACGAGTGGGTAATGGGAGAAAGAGGGAGGGGCAGAGATGGTGGTGGAATTGACATAGTCAGAATCCGCTGAAGTCCCCACCCAAACCCCAGCCCTGCCTTGTCCCCGCCGCGACCACCCACCTCTGGCTCCTTTGCTAATAGAGCAGCTCGGGTCTGAGGCCTCTGCGGGGCCCCAGGAGGCCTGCAGCCGCGCCGCTTTGTGATGTGGTCTGCGGCTTAGAGGCCCCGGGGGGTTTAAAATAACCCACCAGAGATGGAAGGGGCATGCAGGAAGGAGTAGGGCAGCAGGCCAAGTCTGCACACACGACCATATGTTTTTTTTTTTTTTTTTGACGTCACTGTTTTGTTTAAATGCCGCGTGGCTTCCCTGCTTCCTGCCTAGAAAAGAGAGTCTCTCCCCAGCTTACAAACCAGGAGTCATGACTCAGTTTTTCAACTGCATGAAAAGTTCCGGTTCTATAATCTTGGTTCGCCACCAAAACATCTGCTCAATCAGTTTATGGTTTTCTGTCCTTTTGCTCCCAGCTGGTCCCTACTCTGGCCTCGGAGAGATCGTCCACCGAGAGAGCGTCCCCATGCACACCTTCGCTCGCTATCTCTTCACCTCTCTGCTACCTCACGACGCTGAACTGGCGTACAAAATTGCACTGAGAGCCATGCGGTAGGTCTGCTTGTAGATGAAGTCGAACCCCTTTCATGTAGACATTACAACGGTGGTGAGCTCCTCCCTTTTCTTTAAGTAAGCAGAATTTTAAAAATAACGAACATAATCCAAACAGAAAAAGAAACAGATCTGTACATATGATTTAACAATGAAGCAAAATATCTGAAATTGCATATTTTATTATATTTATAAAATAAACCTTGTTTTATAAGAACAAGAGTCATTTGAAAACTTAGATGTTATTGTTTCCTAAAGTCAATAATGAAGATCAATGCAGTCTCTTTCCACCGTTTTCTCCGGTTCCATCTGTTCTACATTGGGGACGCCCCTTTTCCTAATGTCTCTGCAGGATGTCCGTCTGATTTCTCCCTGCTCTTGCTCGTGTGTTCAGCTGCGGGACAGGCGTGCGCCCGTTAATCGGCCGCCGTTGCTCTGTTTTGATGTTGTGACTTGTGGGAGCTGGATCAGTGAATATTAATTACATTAATGATGGTGTAATTAGTGCAGCTGTAACGAGGAGGAATCACACGCACGTATACTCGAATACACACAGCGGGCCGACGGAGAGAGAGAGAGAGAGGGGGGAGAGTGCTTGTCTTTCTGAGAAGCAAAGCTGATATATTTTGTGATTCTCTCCCCTAATCAAAGAAGATCTTAGTAAGTAATTTTTCTCTGGTGTTAGTGAAGTGAAAGCAGGTTCATTTGTAGAAGACATAGTTCTCCCAGTCAACAGGCGGCCGAATCTTTGTGCAGGACTCCCTAACAATGGGAGGGAAGATGGATGAAGAACACCTCAGCATTTAACTTATCATCCCACACTCTCATTAATTGTTACATCCTATTATTTTATTTTTGATCTATTGTATGTTTTATTTAAACTGTATAGGAAAAAACGAAACAGTTTTGACTATGGTTTTACTGAAAAAAACGCATGTAGAGGGAAATATAAACAAAAGAGTTTAAATGGATAATGTGCTGAATACATTTAAACTATAGTTTCACGTTTGGGTTTCTCTTAGTTTTTTTTATCCCCTCAAAACACGTTTTAAAGCGTTTTCAAATAATAACTCAGAATGCATGAAAAGTACACTGGTAAAATGTTTACCAATATAGACATGTTAGACCTTGTTGGGAAGCTTAGATTCTCCAGGTTCATTTTATGGACACACCGAGCAACGAAGCACAATTAGCACAGATATAGCAGCATGTCAAAATGTACCATGACAAAGCAGCTACAACAAGCAAGCATGTCTTTATAACTGCTGTTGAAACCTATTATTTTTGACAATAAAAAAACAACGTTGAGTCTTGTTTAAACTGATGCAGCTTGGGTGTTTTACTCACCCAGTTTTCATGTATATATTCAGAAACTAGAAGGTGTTAGCTTTCAAATAATGTATCACACATATAATTTGGGCTTACAGTTCCTAAGTTATTTGCTTTTCCATTTGGGTATGCAAAATAGGCGAGATTTTCCCAAAATGAGGTGGATATTAAGAGGATAAACCTACAAAATCATTTTTCATGTATTGTTTCTCTCAGAATATTTTCCCGCTCTCCTGTAGAGTTCAATATTTATATTCAAACTGGCATTTTCAAACTAAGATCAACTTTTTGGACACAAAGTAGCTCTTTTATTTCCTCATTTTGGTCTCAGCCTTTGCTTTGCGGCATGTCTCACTACTTTCAAAATAAGAAATCAAATATAAAGACCCTTAAAATTCCAAACAATTCCTGAGGACTTGGCATGACTGGAAGTGACTTTCTTGGAATATTGTAAAGGGGAAAATGGTGACACCTTTTGTTGGAATAAAGAGAAACATCGTCACCTAAAGCCAATGGAGATCTGCCTTTTTTAAACTGATGTTCCAGACTGGAGAGCAGTGAGTCGGGCCGCTCTCTTCCAATCCTGGCCACTTCCTTCACCTTTTCTTTTAGTCGTCTCTCCTCCTCCATCCTCACTCCTCCAGTGTGAAACCAGCGATTTAGAATAATGTGGCCACTTACGGGTGCTCCTGGGAACCAGAGGTGTCTACTCAGCACATAATGAATGTGTGTAATGTAGCGTAGTGTAATGTGATAGCATATACCTCCACGCTCCCACGGGACGGCGGACAGTTAAATATAGAGGAGGAGGTAAAGTAACCAGGGATCTTTTAATAGACCTATTATAATGCTATCATTGATAAAAGAGGAGATAAGAGTCCAACTGTTCATCCCTCAGATGGTTTTTTCTTTTCCTCTTGCTTTTTTTCAATCTGTCACAGTTGCTTCACAAGTAGTATGTGGATTATTTAAAACACTTTGCGTGTTTGTGTCTTTTATAAGGTTAATTAGTCGGTGTGACACCAGCATATGCTGGCTGATGGCTTGGTACGAGTGACCAGCACTAAAATAAAATAAATAAATGAAAAGAGGATCCGCCTGCTGCTCTGCAGGCTGCCCACAATTTGAATTCCGCCAAAGAAGCAGAAGAAGAAAGTCTCTGTCTCTTCAGGCTGTTTTCATCTTTACTGTTTTGCCAGCCAAAGAGGAGAGATGGTGCCTGCTGTTATCATAAGAGAAATCCAAATGAGATGCTAGTTTTTTTTCAGAGCCAACAAGTCTAGATTTTTACTGTAAACTGTATAATACATGTTCCTTAAGCAAGGCAAATGTTTACTGCAGGTTGCCAGAATTTTAAAGCCAGACATATGAAGTCTTTTAAAGTGTCTAAACAATGGCATTGTAAGTGATAATTAAATCTATCTGTGTTCTTTATGTTTCACAGATATGCAACTATTGCAAAAAGTCATAGTTTTTGTTTATCATGTACATAGAATAGCTTAACATTTCCTAAAACTGTCTTACATCACCACCACAAATTTCAATATAATTAATTTCATAACACTTTTTTTGTGTGGGACTGTTTTAACATGCTTTACAGTCTTAAAGTGTCACAGAATTCCTCAATATTCAGCACATCAGTATTCATACCCAAGCTCAATCAGAAAGCTTCGGAGAAAAACAAACAAATGTAGAGTCCATTGCATTAAAACAATGCAAAACATGGAAAGATAAACAGTAAATCAAAGTGTTTTTTTAGTTTTTTTTTATTAGGAACTATAAACTAAATAAACATAAATATAATACTTGACATTTATGGAAATATGTCAGTAAAACCCCTATTTAAAGAAGCCTGCAATTTCTGCACAACATAAATACTTTTTTTTTTTAGCTTAGAAATCTCTTATTATGTTGCTGATGGAAAAAGGTATTTTTTAGGCATCACAGTTCTTTAAAAGAGAGATATGTACGGTTTTGGTCATGTATGACTTGGTCCTTCTTGAAAATCTCACCTTGGAAGAGTTTGTTTATACAGTTGAGGTCTTCCACCGGATGTGTGGCGTATAGCTGATAGATCTGTGCTTGATGGATGGTGAAAGTGAAGGGTGTTTACAGTCAGAGGGGGAAACACAGCGTGAGGTAAAGAGGTCAGTCGTCATGGTGATGCAGACCAGAAACCCAAAGGGCCTCAGGATTTAGGTAAAACCTATCAGGACTGCTTTGTCTCATGATCTCAGTTGAGAATTTTAGATAGATTTCTTTTTTTTCCTTCATATTTTCCCTTTAAAGGAGAAATGATAAAGCCTAAATTAAGTTTGGACAATATTTAACTTATTATTTTGTCTCCCAATCTCCAAGTCTACTTATCCATAGATTGTGTATGAAAATATACATTAATCTCACAAAAAGATATTATGTCTTAATCTGTAAACAGATATATATTTTTTGTTTTTAAAGACAAAGTAAATGTTTGTCTGTGTTTAAAAGAATCTGCATTGCATGTTGAATAATACAGTCCAGGTTTAAGTAATTCATTTTCTATTTATATTTTTTAATTCTCTAGTGACCCTTACGTATATAATAGAGTAAAACACATCATTAATTTATTCTCTCAGATAGCTGCAGTCACTTTCTTAACCAAATATTTAAGAACAATACAGCATCAATTAAAGAACTACTTCATTTTTTATTATATAATTGTCTGGTTTAGACTTATTTAATTAAGAAGATTTCGACCAAACTGCGCAACACTCTAAGAACTAGAAAACAGATATGGGTTATCAAGCTTTTAAATAAATCTCTGTTCATTGTATCCGTGCTGTGGCACTGAAAAGAAAATACAAACTAACATTTTAAAACTCAAAAAATTTTTTAAAATGTTTTGTGTAGGTTAGCCATGTTCCCACAGTGCTACAAATGATTGTCACTACCCGATCAATACAAAAACAAAATCCGTACCATCGGCTCATTTACGCATGTGCAAGCAGATATTCATCCAGGTTGCCATAAATAATGTAATTATTGTACTAAAAGTACTTATTTTTATACTTGAATCAATAAACAACGCTAATACAAGTCTTCAATAAAAAATGTATGACTTTTCTGAGACAATTTGATGCTTTTTAAACTTTCTCCATTAAACTGCTTGTCTGACGTCATCATCGGACATGCTCCGGCGAAATATGATTGAACCATATTTATCTTCTTAAGGTTGACACAAAGGAAAAAATAAAACTCAAAAAGACTAGATTTAAGTTAGCTTCTGGACGTGGTGTAGGATCCCATTTCCTGTAACGATCGGGCACAGACAAGTGATAAAAAAGAAATTTTTTAAATGCATTTATTTTCTCAGGAAAAATTATTGTTATTTTTTTACAAATTAAAATTGAGGACGACCCGAATGTATATCTGGTATTGCATGCGCAAATGAGCTGATGGTGCGAATCGTGTTTCCGGTATGGACAGTGACAATGATCCCTATCTCGTCTGTCACCTCATTGCTACAAGGCTTCTCTGATACTTTTGTCACTGAATGTTATCTGCGAGCCCAACAAAATCTTTATTTATTCTCATCGACGCAACAGGGCAGCAAATCAAGAACTGCTTCCCCAAATACAGTACATTCAAAATATATATATATATATATATATATATATATATATATTTTTTTTTTTTTTTTCGCAATGTGCCCCAGTTTTTTTTGCATATTTTAATGTTTTCCCTTTCTAACACTATTTCTGTTTTTTTTTTTTACAAACAGTTACTAAAAAAGCTGACAGATAAACGTGTTTTTAGCGAGGCCTTATTATTATCTATCTCAAAAATGGCGCTCACAGAGATACAAGGTGAGTGTCACTACCCGATACGTCACGGAAGCACGATCCGTTCTGCGCATGCACGAATAGATATACATCCGGGTGTAAATAAATAATGAAATTATGGTACTAAAACTACTTATATCTATCCTTAACTTGCTAAAGAATACTAATAAACATCTGTAAAAAAATGTTTTATAACTTTTGTGAGACAATTTTTATGCTTTTTACATTTTCTCAGACGTCATCATCAGCAGTCCGTCAAAATATGATTAAACCATGTTTATCTGCATTTTAATTGTTTCTTTCTTTAGATTACGCCCTATATAGCATAAGGTTAAAACAAAACGAAAACATAGAACTCAAAAAGACTAGATTTATGTTTCAATCCAAAGCCTAGTGATAAAACAGGATTTTAAGGCATCTTTTTTTGTTAGGAAATACATTATTAACATTATATTTTAGCACGTTTACAATTTTGGGAGGGAAAACGTTATTTAGGTATTTTTATTTATTTTTATATTTTTACATTTATGGCTTAAAATAATAGCTTAGACTTATTTCAACAGGGAACGTCACCTGCTGAAAAGTTTTATTTTGATGAGAAGTATCTTAGCAATTTGAAATCGCCCCATAATCTTGATAGTTATTTATGATACCTTTTTTTAATCAAAGTGGTTGTAGAGAAAAGGTGATTTAATTTGTTTATCATAGAGCTGTTATTTTACTTGAGTTTGTTTGCTATTATTATTGTTTCTGTGTAAAGCATGTCAGGACTGTTTAGTAAAACATGTTAAGTGAGAATGAAGCAATAAAATAAAAAGTCCTTGTGCTTTTTTACTCTGCAGTGCACGAAGACTTTTTTCATCCCTTTTTATTTATTTTATTTGTTTAACTTTTTTTTTTCCCTCTCGAAACAATGACCCAAAAATGATTGCTCCAAAATCATTTGAGGAAGCTTTATTAGTAGGACCGTCCTTATCCAATAGAGGCTTTCTGGTGCAAACCAAACAAAGACAGGAATGTTGATGAGGCCTTCGTCTTTACTCAAGGCTCTCTCTTTTTAAAAAATGTCTCTGTGCTGCAGCCCAGGCATCTTCCAGAAGGCCCCAGTGTGGTAGCAGCTCTTCGCCTATATGTGGCATGAACCCTGCTGTTGCGGGAGCTTTCGAACATGTCCGTTTCGCGGCAAGTGCCGACGTTCACACTTTTGTTTTGTTCTTTTTATCACCCTTGCTGTCTGAGAGCTGAGCCCCCTCTTTTGCTCTTGTAGCCAAAAGCAAGCAAAGACAAGGCTGTTTTTTTTTTTTTTTCAACTTGTGCATGCCTTCACTCACGTGGCAGTGAGATCACACACACTTTTGCTCTGAAATTGAAACTGGCATTTAGCATCACGTTGCTTTTACTGGGCAGCTTTGATGTGTTTTCAAAAGGGCAGGTGTGTATGTGTGTGCGGCTCTCTTCACTGATGTGTGTTGGTATTTGTTTGATGTGTGTCCAGCCTTACAGGGCTGGAAGGTGAATTCCTTAATTTCCCCACGGACTCAATTAGCTTTGTGATTGGCTGAGAGAAGGCCAGGTTGTGCCGTCTTCTAAAGAAAAGAAGACCTTTGAAACTGAGGTGGGAGCGGAGGCAGGAAAGAAAAAGAGAAAAAAAAGGTGAAGCAGAATAGCAGATGAGCAGGCCACAGTGGTAATCGTGTGGTGCTCCTGATGCTCCAGAAGACTCAGCCCTGTCTGGATTATTATAATGAGAGACAGAAACCAGAGAAGCTCCTCGATCCTCCAGCAGGTGTTGCACAGCTCTGACTTCATTATAACCAATTAGAGTGAAGAAAATACTAATTATACCTTAGTTTCTAGGTGATTAAATGGTAGGTTGAAAGTAAATTGCAGGGATAGGGTAACTGAAATCCCCCCGGTGGCGACTTAAGTCATTTTCATTTTGAAGTCACACAAAGAGCGCCATAATGAAGACTTTTTCTGTCTATGCTGTATCTCTGTCTGACTGCCTGTTAGACTAAAAAAGAAGGGGGGATTTCATTATGATGTTGATCATTTGAGCAACTTTAATGTGGTTCTCTCTGATCACCAACCCTCATTTATCTTGCCTGCACTTTTTCCTTATCTTGAGTTTTTTTTCTCCATCATTTGTTGAAAGTTTCTAATTATTAGAGTAAAACTTTAACTTCGATGCCATATCTTCAAAGAAAAAAACATGTTTTTTAAAAACACTTTTTTTTCCCCCTGTGTTTCTCCATCAGGTTGCCTGTGTTGGAGTCCACGGCATCATCCAGTGACCTCTCACGACCTCACCACATTGTGTCTGTAGTTCCAAACCGCTACCCGCGCTGGTTCACGCTGAGCCACATAGAGTCTCAGCAGTGTGAGCTGGCCTCCACCATGCTCACTGCGGCTAAAGGTGCACATTCACTTGCAAAGTTGTTTGTAAAAATCGGCTTATACTTATTGTTACCAGGGTTGTTTTTTGACAGCCATCTTAATTTTAGTCTTAGTCTTCAGGACGAAAACTATTATTAGTCTTGGTCACATTTTAGTCATTACAATATGTGATAGTTTTAGTCAGGTTTTAGTTGACTAAAACTTAAAAAGGTTTTGGTCTAGTTTTAGTCAGTTTTATGTTGCAAAATGTTAACCTTTACAATTTCGAATAACAACCAGATTCTTTACCAGACTGGCAGCTCTTGCCTAGATACTACTATTGCTGGGCATATAATGCTGCTCTGTCGTTCATCATTGCTGTTGGGGAGAAAACTTTGATTTATAGGATTCAAATAAACTTTTTTATGAATTAATGCCCTACTTTATACAAAAGTGTCTCACAATAATTGTGAAAATAGCTGATCTAGTTCAACACATCATACTTTTTAATATAGCAGACAGACAAGCTAACAAAATTTACAATAAAATAATGGTTCTAGACATACAAGGTTTCCATCCCAAAGCAAAAAAACTTCCTGATCTACTATGAATTGTGCATTACACACAGATCAATAAAATCTTACTTGCTCCAAAAAAGCAAAGAACAAAAACATTTTTCTTTACTCTGCAATTTTTGCCTTTTTCTGAGAATTTCCCCCATTGTTACCAATGCTCAAGGAGATTTAAATTCAAGGGGTTTTGATATAAAAACAAATACAGAGAGAACCTACATATTTGCCTTTTAATGCCATTGCAATCCAGATCTAAATTGAATGAATATGCTAACTAAAATGTTGACATATTTTAAGGAAATAGAGAAAATGTTTTAATGACAATACATAGAAACATTTACATCATATTTAAATAAATAGAAACAAGAAAAATGAGAGAGAAATATTCAAAGATCTATGTACCTTCTCACCTGGCTCTTTATCCAAAAATAAACAATGCAATTAAATATTTTCTCAGGTTAAAATTTAGGGATTCCTCTTGGTAGAAATTAAAGAATGTTTAGCATAACCTCTTGTGCGCTGGAAGAAATAAAATCTTGATAAACTAAGGGTTTTTTACGCTTGGCAGAGGATGATCAGCCATATAGTTTATTAAGTAGTGAGAGCAGGAAGGGCCATACTGCTGAGAGTGAACCCTTGGTGTGGAGGGAGAGAAGCGGAGACTATGAGCCAAGCGCACACAAAGACGCATTTCTACACAAGCACAGACAGAAGGGCAGAATTTATCAGAGTTCAGCACACAGTTCCATCAGACACCCGGACCATTCTGGATTATTTTCGCCCTGCTGCTGCCATGATTCTTCTGTGGTCATGCAGAATGAACACCGCTGCCCCAAACATGATGCAGCAGCACGGCTGATACCGTTCAGCAGCACAGTGATCCATTTTAAATGTCTGACCGACTACCCGGTAATTTTTATTTGGTCTCGTCTCATCTCGTTGTCTAAAATTCACACCGATTAACACTCAAGTTTTCGTCAACAAAGATCCATATTAACCTTGTCAGTTCTCGTTATTATCCTTTTTTTTTAAATGGAGCGTCCACAAAATAATTTCGTCTTCCTCATCGTTGATAAAAAAAAAACACATTGTTACCCCTGATTTAAGAGTTGTTGTTTCTTTATTAGTTTAGACTCATGTCAGTTTTACACCTTTCTTTACTGTTTACAGTAGTAGCCGTTCAAAATTTCCCCACTAACTTGACGGGCCCTTGGCTGGTCCCCTAAGGTTACTTTTTAAACATCAGTCTTTGTACTAAAATATTCTTTCTGTCATGATTTGTGAACATTACGATCTAAAGAGAAGCGCCTTCTTCTGGTCAGACCCTGTAATTCAGTGACTGGGAAGGGTCATTTTGAATGCCTGCTACTGTACCAAAGTAAAGATCTTATTCTGAAGGTAGTTTAAAGATTTTCAATAAGAAAGCGTCACATCTTTTCATTTTTAATGTTTTCCCAAAAAGGATTTACGAAGCTTCACAAAATGTATGAAATTCTAATATTTTACTAATAATATTATAATCTGGCATTCGTATGTGTTTCATTAAATCAGTTTTTGTTCAATAATGTACTACCTTGTTAGCAAAGCACCTATTAATGCTGATATGATGTAGAACATTAACTACACATCTATGGGTCCTAATAATTGTAGTCAGTTATACATAATGTTAAATATATTTCTGAGATTTTTTTTAACCTTTCTCTGCTCTCTGTGTGCTTTCAAGGTGACAGTCGCAGATTAGAGACAGTCTTGGAGTCCATCCAGAAAAACATTCACTCCTCGTCTCACATCTTCAAACTGGCACAGGACGCCTTTAAGATCGCCACTCTCATGGACAGCCTGCCGGACATCACTCTTCTCAAAGTTTCTCTGGAGCTTGGCCTGCAGGTGTGCAAACACATCTCCACCGTAGGTCAAAACGACCCCACGCCTCCAGCTCTAAACACAAGGAGGATGTTTGGCCTGATCATATTGACTAAAAGGGTCAAATTAAGATGCAGTCTCAGTTTATTTTAGTCTACAAGTTCTAATCACAGACTGGAAGAAAGATCAGTTCTCAGTAAGCTGAAATGCATTTACTCATGCACACAATTACAATGTAGAGTTACAGCTGTTTCTGAAATGTCTGGACGTTGTTGTATGGGGTTTCATTCCTGTATCTACACATTTAATCAAAATGTACGTGCATTACTGTTCTTTTTCTCCAGACTTAACAATATATAGTATTAATTTCTTGCAATGCTGCATGTGACATTCACCACTTAGTGTGAATAATGAAGTCATACAGTCTACACAGATTTCTTTTTGATGTTAAGTCATTTTCAGGAAGAGATATACTAATAGTAATAGTATAGTAAACACTAATAAATAAATCTTTTTTTACCAAGAAACTAATTTCATTCCATCTTTTTGAAAAAGATAGAAACTAAATTCATATTTTTCTGTTGTATTCCATTTTGCCCTAAATATCTTACCCTTAAATTATCCATATACAGCCTTACATGAACAGATACATTCTTGCTTCATTAATTTATCCTTTTTATTAATGTCCTAGCCTATGTTTCACTTTATTTTTTATGGTTTATATATATTTGGTTGATCATATTGATTATATCGAATCGATTATATGTTATTTGATGTTATATTCTTAGGTTTTCATTTCATTTTATTCCATATTTCTGGTTTCCTTTTTACTTTTATTCTGTAGTTATTTATTTAGATTTTTCAACTACAAATCAGAGTACATGGCAAATTACAGAGATATTTTTACCTGCCTGTTGGCTGCTCAGGTGTGTGCTAACACCAAGTCCACACCACATTTGGTATGAGGGGTCGAAGCTGGATAATCTCAGACCATCTGCCAAGGTATACTCCAAGGCCCGTGGTTTAGCTTTTGATCGTAGCAGCTTTAAGTGCAATCCGCCGCGGGTCCATCCCTAAAGTTTGGACTTTATTTGCTCAAAAAGATCGACAAAATAATGACTGAAAAATTGGCAGAAATCATAGCAACAAGTTGTTGCAATGATGAAGTCCGAGTCCAGACTTCAACATAATTGAATTTAAGCGAGGCTGTTTAGGAGGTTAGTGGGAATAAAAACTAGGATAGAAAAAAAAAAAAAAAGAAAGTTAAAAAAAAATTAATGACAAGGCACCCCTCATGCGTATTAATGGTCTCTGGCTTTATAGCTTTTCAAGTAATGAGTTTGCATATAAAATGAATTGGTTGGGGTTTTGGTTCTCCAACTCACCTGTCACTCCTTTCTCCATTACTTCTTGCCTTCTTCAGGTCATGAGAATAACTCTGTCCACATTAAACTGGAGGAGGAGAGAGATGGTTCGCTGGTTAGTCACATGTGCCACTGAAGTTGGTAAGTCTCATTCCAAGACGGGTTAGATCCACGTTTTCAAACATATCCTCATTGTTTTTATGTGTCCTCCAGGTGTGTATGCACTGGACAGCATCATGCAGAGCTGGTTCACCCTCTTCACCCCCACAGAAGCCACCAGTATCGTGGCCACCACCGTTATGTCCAACAGCACCATAGTTCGCCTGCACCTGGACTGCCACCAGCAGGAGAACCTGGCCTCCTCCGCCCGCACGCTCGCCCTGCAGTGCGCTATGAAGGACCCTCAGAACTGCGCCCTCTCTGCTCTCACGCTCTGCGAAAAGGACCACATTGCCTTCGAGACAGCTTACCAGATTGTACTGGACGCTGCAGCAACGGGAATGAGCTACACGCAGCTGTTCACCATTGCACGCTACATGGAACACCGTGGCTACCCGATGCGGGCGTACAAGCTCGCGACGTTAGCTATGGCTCACCTGAACCTCAGCTACAACCAGGACACACACCCCGCCATTAATGACGTCCTGTGGGCCTGCGCACTCAGTCACTCGCTGGGCAAGAACGAACTGGCCGCCGTCATCCCCTTGGTGGTTAAAAGCGTTAAGTGCGCCACCGTGCTGTCTGACATTTTGCGGCGGTGCACACTGACCACCCCCGGGATGGTGTCGGCGCTGCACAGCCGCAGGAACTCTGGGAAGCTGATGTCTTTGGACAAAGCGCCGCTCAGGCAGCTGTTGGACGCTACCATTGGGGCCTACATTAACACCACGCACTCGAGGCTCACGCACATCAGCCCGCGGCACTACAGCGAGTTCATCGAGTTCCTGGGGAAGGCCAGGGAGACTTTTATGATGGCTCACGACGGACACATCCAGTTCACCCAGTTCATAGACAACCTGAAACAGATTTACAAGGGCAAAAAGAAACTGATGATGCTAGTGCGGGAGCGATTCGGCTGAGGGCGAGGCTCCTCTTCCACTCTAGTACTTTTCTATTAACTTGAGTCTGCCTTTTGAACTTTTTTTGGACTAATGGACAGGTAAGAGGGATGTGACTTGTAGAATGAAGCAAAACCAGAACGGAAAAGAGGAGAAAAAAATCCAGAGCCACATGCGGTATTATTGTTCTTGCTGTTGTTATTGTTATAAACATTATTGCTATTATTATTATTATTACTATGATTAATATTATTACTACTATGTGTACAGAAGCATTTTTATTTTTAAGAAGAGAGGAAATTTGTCACATTGTGAATGTTGTGCGTACTTCTCTACATGTGTGCGAGATGAAAATGAAACGTGAAATGGCTTTTTTTGTTTGTTTTCTATATTTTTATGATTTTTTTTTTTCAAACATTTTCCCCCCCCACTATCAATGTATGTTGAGTTTTACTTTAATGAGTGGCTGAAGCCTTTGTACAATAACGCTCATGTTTAAAAAAAAAAAAAAAAGAAGAAGAAAAAAAAGACCAATTTCAACGTCTCTGTATCCTCAAAGAGAAACTAAGGCTTTAAAATTACACAGAGCACCTCCCTATGGTCTAGGCCCTAGCTGATGGGCACTGGGCAGCATTGCACAGCTTAGCTCGGCTCGACACAGCTTGGGTTAGCACTGATATAAAAAAGGCGCCATCAGCATTTCCTCACTCATAGCAGCAGCACTTGAGCTTTCTCTGGGTCGCTCTATACAACAACACTCTTAACTAAATCTTGTTGTTAGTGTCATTATTATTTTTGTTATCCAATTTTACCCACCCGATCTCAGTCGGAGGAGCTGTAGTGATGACACGTCAAAAAAGCAAAGTATTACTTCTACATTAAAGTTGATGTAGAGCAGCTGGAGCTCTTTACCACTTGAAGCAGAACTGATTATTTCGGCCTTTCAGGAGTATTTATGCCGCTTAAACTCTGTACTTGGTGTCAATTAAACCACAAACATAAATGGATGTTATGAAGTATTTAAAAGTCTGACATTTATATCCATGCATCACCCCCTAAAAGATCATCTTTGTTCTGCTGGGATGTTGGTTCAACCTCCACCCTGGTTTTAACTTTATTGCAGCGTCCAACAGCTTTTCTCCCAACATTTGGCTCAGTCCATCAGTCTCTGTCTCATTTGACCTGAGGACCTTCCTCCACTTGTTTTGGAATCTGTAAAATGAGACTTCTTATTGCGCTTTTTAAGCTCGACTTACTTCTCGGCCCTTTCCCTTAAAACGATAATTGTCGATTGCACAATTAGGGTTGGGGTCAGCTTTATTAATATGTAACATAGAAAAAATATGTTGCACTACACTAATCAGACACATGAGTACTAAAACCTTAAGCCAAGATGCAACAGTGAAATTGAAACAGTGAATTGTGATTTTTTTCCCATAATGATGTTGCTGACATCCTCTTAGATGCTGTTTGTGCACTGATGCTCTCTAGGCCTAACAGAGTAAAGGGGGCTGAACACATGATGCATGCCACACTTTTAAGACTTCAAATCAGTACTTATGTAAGGGGCTCCATTACATATTTCACGTCAGAAATTCCTGGGGGGGTGACTACCTCATCATTCGCTATTGAACATGCTCCCAGTTGTTGCTTTTATGATATTTAGTGATTATGATAGCTGACAGTGTTAATTAAAAAGTTCTTCAGATCCAATCTAGAATGGAAACAAAGTGTCAGACTCCTCCTTAAGGTCCTTTCTATGCTCTGCCCCCCCTCCGTCATACTCGCATCAGTCACTGCAAGGTTGTTGTTTTGTTTTTTTTTCAACCCTGGCCAGTGTCATTTTCTTCTGTGCATGTGAATCACGGACATTCAGACTGTCTACTGTTATATTTTGTCACATGGAACATTCAGCAACCGGAACGTTCTCAGGGATTTCTCTACGCAGGAAAAAAAAAAAACGAAAAAAGAAAACAGTGGAACAAAACGAGCGTCTCACTTCGCCGATGAAAGAGATGGAAAAAAAAAAAAAAGAACAGAAACACAAAACGACATGAGCAAGCATTTATTGTACTCTGTATATATGCCATAATATATGTCTGAATATGGAGGATCTGAAAGTATATGTTAACTAATTTATACAGAGTATTCTATGTAATGTGAAATACTTGAAACCGCTGTAGTTTGCTCTCTGGCTCTCCATCTCTTTCTCTCTTTTTTTGTCTTCTTGTTTTTTCCCTCTTCTGTTCAAAGCGACATATCCGAAAGACTAGCATGATCTTCTTGAAGATATTATTTTGAAAAAGCCGTCACATTTGAGACCTTAGATTTCGGTCAGAAATTGAGGACGATTCTTGGAGAAGATGACTGTGCTTCATTCCTGCTGATTGAGGGAGGAATCTACTTCAGGTTACTGGTCAGCAAAACACAATTTCCTAAGATACTGATTTATCTCAGTTATCAGGAATATCTGCTATGAAATCCTGTTGGAAAACCTTGAAGTTACTTTTGGGGAATCTGGTTTAAAATGTTTTTTCTCCAGCCTTTTTATGCATTTCACAAAGTTTACCAACTGCATTTCCTCTCATTTTGCAAAAATTATGACCGCTGCCAGTGGAGTTTCAGCATAAGAGTAAGGAAAATAATTCTTTTTTGCAATCACACACAGGTTCAGAGCTCCAGTATCACAAATCTTGCTTTGGGAACGTGAGTCTCCTCAGTTTGTCCTTCAGGCACTGCAGAATTTCCAGGATCTCCTCTTCGAAGTCCAACGCTTCTGTTTCATCATTAGTAGCTTTTTTTTTTTTTTTTTTTTTTAACCAAACTTCTGATTTTTATTTCTTGTTTTTGTCTTGTCTATGTTGCGTTGATTAAATATAAAAATCAGCCTTTTCTCTTGCCTTGTCTTAACGCTTTAAAGTAACCAAACAGAAGATCTATCTAACAACCAAACGCGTTTGAAAGAGGTGAGAGACAAGCAACCTATTGGTCCCAGCTTTAGTGTCCTTAATTAGTAAGTGAATGGCTGTGTAACTCCATGCTTTAACAAAGCAATTCCTCACGCCTGTTTGATGGAAAAAAAAAAAAGAAAAAGAAAAAAAAAAAACGTCGTCCAGTGTCTCTAGTTCTCTTTGGAAACAATTTCCTCTTGAGTCGTCGAGCTGTTTTTCTGTTGTTTTTTTTCTACTTTTTTTGGTTTGTGTAGGAATCTTCTGCTCTCCCGTTTTATTTATTACAATGACACATGTATACATGCTTATGAAATTAAGATTTGATACACCGATATCAATTTATTTATGTAACTAAATCACTGTTTTATAATCTTGTTAATGAGTCAATAATTGATTTGTTTTTTTGTTTTTTTTTGTTTTAATAAAAGTTAGTTTTTTGAACTGTAAATAGAGTGAAGCATGCTGTTTCATCTAAAGTCAGAAGTTTACATACACTTCTCATCTACATTAGTTTAATGAGCTTAATGTTGGCAACCGAACCAGGATTATGCAAAAAAACGAGTTCAATGAGTTTAAAAAAAAATTTGGGGGGAATATAGATGATTTACTTTAACCCACACAGGATTGAAAGACACCATTCAGACATACTGATTATTCACATAATTCATGCACACATTTCTGTAAATCCTCCATCATAAACCATCAAAAAATCAGGAGAAATCAGCAATTTAATCAGGAAGTGAATTGTGGACCTCTGTCTCTGTCTGGTTCATCCTTAGATACAGTTTCTGATGGAAAAAGTTGCCAGGCATTCAGACATTTAACTGAATATTATTGGTGAAGAGATGTTCAACTCTCAAACATCTCATGAAGAAATTAATTTGTCTCAAAGGTGAAACAGGTTTGTTTCTAAATTAGTATAGAAACCCCATACCAAAATTCAAAGGAATCCCAAAAATGCTGAATTAAGCTTGGATGAAATATCTGATTTATATACTTTATTTCCATTTTTAAAACTTACAGAGTGACTAAGGTTATCCTGGGCTATTTCTGCACCCTATTGGCTTGATATGCTGAGGTAAACATTTCCTCTTGCTCTCCTGCTACTTTGCCAATGTGCATCATCTGCAATTAGCTCCACCATTAACCCTATACCTCTTCAATCCCTTTTTAAAGAAGTGACACCTGACCTGGTGTTTCAGTGAAGCTGTGCCAGCTTTTTGTCCATTGGCCAAGCTATAGCTACAAATATCTTCCTGATCTCTCTATACATTATATACTTGACCATGTTAACTCCATTTATTTCCTTGAAATACACACTGAAAAAGCTTATTCTCCCTTTAGCTACATGCATTTTTATTTTTAACCTGTAGGTTTTACTACTAATTTGGAAACAGTATTTGGTGTATGGCTGTGTATTTTGAACCTATTCTCCTTTTCAAAGCATAAGCCGATTGCTGCAGATGGCTGTTCACAGTGTGCCTCTGCTGGAAGTCTTTTCCTGTTAAAGGAAAGCCTTTCTTTTCAACTGTTGCTAGAAGCATGCATGCTCAGCTGCAAATTTTAACAAGTTAATGCCATTAACTGTCCAGTCATGTACCTGGTGGTTCTCAGGTCCTTCAATTAACTGAAATTTCAACTGTGATCTCTAGAAAACTAGAAACTTTTCTAGAATATACAGTTGTGCTTGAAAGTTTACATACCCTTCTGTTAAAGACAGAAAAAGTCAGCTGCCAGTAGAATTAATTGAAATTGATGAAAATGATAATTAATATTAACAAATGGAAACCATGATATATATATATATATATATATATATATATATATATATATATATATATATATATATATATATATTGGTGTTTTGTGTAATGTTCAGGAAACATGAATTGAGGCTACACTTGTTGACACATATGTTCGTTCACTGTTCATGAGCAAGGTAGTTTAATTTGTTTGTTTTTTGGAATCATTTTTTAAATAAAAATTCTGAATCAATATTTAAAGTTATAGGGGAGGATGTTCTTTTTCTGGGTGCATCGTAAAAATAAGTGGTCCTCCTAATTGTCAATCATTCTGGTGATATGTTTAAGTAAGCCTGTCCTACTCGCTCATCTCCATTTTCACTTCCCTTGGGTGAGTCTGAAATAGTGAAAAAATTGCAAATCTTCTTTTGGAAAGTAAGCTTGTATGAGCGATGCAAACAACTTTTAAACAGAGTGTGCATGAGGAGAAATGGGCTCATGCATGCTTTCGCATGTGTTTAATAGGCATTCCCTCTCTGGAGCGGGTACAGAGTTGTGCATGTGCATCTTATTTTTAAAGTGGAGAGGGTGGTTCTTTTCAAAAATTCATGATAATCCTCCACTATACTTTTAATTTTACTAAATTATCATTTAGTCAGTTTTTATTATTACTTTTTTCAGCTTTGTTTTATTTGAATACTAATGTGAATTTATATTTTAATTTTTTATGGTAGACTTCAAGCACAACATTGTAAAGGAAACCATGTAATAGAGAAATCAAGTAATTTCATTTTTTCAGCTTAAAGGTGCCCTTATTATAAGATGTTAAATTTGTTGGCACACGGTGCTTATTACAACACTCTAATGAAGGCTTTAGAATATTAAGGAGTTTCAAGAATAATAAACATTTAAATTTGCACTGAATTATTATTTGATGCATAAGGCATGACTTTTGCAAATCAAAATGTTTGAAATCTATTACATCCTCAGCCCTCACACCATTTACTCCTTTTCTGTTAACTTCAGTAGATTTTTTTTGTTTCCTCAATTCCATTATGCATAAAGTCAGTTAAAACTTTATATATTAAAAAATAAAAGCTGCATATTAGTTAAGTTATTTAAATTTGGTTATACCTCAATGTTTGTACCCCGGCTACCATTATTATTACTACTACTAGTACTACGTTTAATGCATCCATTCAGCTGTTTCTCAAATAAACCTATTTGAAAAAGAAAAAAAAATTCCTCTTGTTTGCAGATCATAACATGCAATAATTAGTGTAACAGGGTTGCAACTAATAGAGTTAGCATATGGCCTGGTCATATGATGCCCTCTGTTTATGTAAATCTACCATGTTATCAAACAGAACTTAAGCACATAATTGGAATCATTTGAAATATGTCTTGGATGACATGTTTCTAATAATGGCTATGATAAGATCATACACTTTTTTATAGGTTTTTTTTGGACATGCAGTCTTGTTATGAATAACAGTCATAATTACTTTATTAATCCCTTACAGGAATTGCAGGAAGAGTGCTGGGTAAGAGGAAAACTGCCATGTTAGGTGCTATTTTAAAGCAGCTGATATTTTAAATATCCTTGAACACATTTCCTGCCCTCACATGGTATTTCAGGACAAATTAATCATACAAAACATGTCCATCTCTTTAAGAATTGTACATTCATTATTTGAAATTGTATGGGTGGGATAGGACATGTCTTCTTCCAGAAGAAAATAAATAAATAAATAAATACAAACTAGTGCACCCCGCTTAAAAAAAAAATCACTAAAGCTGTGCAGTATATGATCATCCCAACATGGAGAAAGAATTATTCAAATGCATTATTTATGCATCATTCATGGAGTTGATGATAAACTTATAACCAGCAGTGCACACTTTTATTTCAGAGGGCATGTCATGGGGAATTATGGGACTCGGCCTTTGAGCTCACAGGCGTAGGCTGAGGCGAGAGCTGATCGGATCTCCATCACACAGCCGTGTCAGAAATATAGGCAGAGATGGATCACTCTCCTTGGCAGCAGCTTTCACACTGTCATCTCAGGCGAGCTCATGAGGAATATGAAATGTATCAATTGATATTCCCATGGTCTTTGTAGCTTCTGTCAGGCAGCCAGGCTCAGCCAACCACAATAACCTGTTTACACGTATCCAGCACTGACAGTGGTGCCACAGGATGACTAAATCAGTGTATGCAGTTTGTCAAGTGTGTGCCCACTTGTGTAGACATGCTTTGTGTACTGTTTTCTTGTTTGCATGCGTCTGTGTGTCTACGTATGGTTTAATATGACGTGCGTGCGAGTGTGTGTGTTTAGGTCTTTAGGGAGCCAATGGGAACAGGTGGTAGCTTCAGACTAAGGGAGCTCCTGACAGCAGCAAGGTCCCCAGACTCCCAGCCCCTCATTAAACATTGACACAAAAACACTGCAACTGTCTGTGTGTGAACAGTAATGAAGCACAGACGGCTACACTGATATACACACTGCAACTTAGCGCAGCACGAGCACACAACTGCGGGTTTGCCTGTATGGAGCTGTGTATATGTGTGCTGTCCATCTGTGGGTACTCATTAATGAGGAACATTTGTCTACATAGGTGTCCTCTCAGATATTGAAGAATTTGTCAGGTTTAGCAACTAAAGCTATTGCGGTTGGACCCCAGACAGGACTGTCCATTTCTTATGTGACGGATGCCTGCTTGTGAGACATTCTGTGTGTGTTGATGTGAGCAAGCATACACTTACATGTGTGTTGGTGAGTGTGTATGTGTGTGTTATCCCACTTCCTGCGTGTCTGACCTGTACTCAGGTCCCTGCTCACTTCCAGTTGGTAATGACGTCCCCTGGGTTCAGCACAGTACAGCAGCCTCCTCCAGTCTGTCTTTTTCTATACTTCTAATGACATCATGATCACACACTGGGCCCTTTCATGCCAAAAGCTCTCTTCCTCACCATCACCATCAAAACTTCTTCTATCTGGAGCACTCATCATCGCTTCTCTTTGACATAGACTTAAACCCATGACTCTACATCTTGGTTTTTGACACTTTCTCCTACAGTCTATCCTTTATGTTGCATGCCTTCATAAATTGAAATCATTCATTACTCAGAGTTTC